CATTAGCACCTCTAGTAATATATTTACTGAGAAAAATGGTGACGTGTTCAATACTTATTTTACCCGCCGTATATTCATCCCGTTTGCTTTGAAGCACTAAACATTACTTTCAGAATCCACAAACTTAGTTAAACAGGACCTGACTGTGTCACATGTTCTCAGTATACCTGTTCTGATGGTCTTCAGAATAAGGGCGGTGACCCTGTAAGTTTCAGACGGGTCTGTACACACGCACAGAGTATGCAGGCTGTGTCTCAGTTCATGGGCTGTGAATTGAGACATRGCCCACCTGGGCCATGTGGACCACATCCTTCCCAGTCCAGGTAGGCTGTATGAGAYGGTCTAGCCTTCACTTGATGTAAGTTTGCATGACCACATGCGACCCCCATTACCGTAGAGATCGGTTTCATATCAGACTGAAAATGCATTGGGACATGTATTTACACATCTTTTCACTGGAAGAATAACTTCACAGTTAAAATGTTACACATAAAAATATAAAAAAACAGCAATAATTCGTGTTTAGCTCCAGTATCTGTTTTAGTAGTTGCATTTTTTTTATTTAACATCTTATTGCAGCATGAATTTCATCAGCTAAGTTGATAAATTTGCTTTAAAAACAAATTTTTCGGTCCATGATGAATTTCCAAATTATCCCAACTTGGTAAAAGAAATCATAAAAACTCCACTGTCTCGTTTCTCTGTTCGGTTTGCTGTCGGCACATTGAATCTTGGGATATCCTCAGCTGGTAATTATAGGTGCATCCTTCGTTTCTGAGATTTTGAGGGCCGCATGAGGAGGAGCCTTCAAATTGGGAAAGCACTCGTTGCAGTGACGTATGCAGCCGGCAAATGTGCACTCATGAGGATCCAGCCCATGAACTCTACCCAGAAAGGTCGCCGGCTGGGATTTGATCCGGCAACCATCTTTCTGAGAGACCACAGCTCTACTAACTGAGCTGTCGTGCCACCAATAACAACATATGTATACCTCTCAAATAATGATGCCCCCCCATCAGCCTGACAGTGGTTTGATCCATACCTACCTGAATATTTGACTTCAACTTGTTTGTGTCACACTCAGTCCCCTTTTGTAGCAGAAAGTGTTCCTGCCTTTAGTGCGGGAGTATGGAGTTTGATCCCTATTCAGAGAAATTTGTTTGTAGTATTTTAGCTTTTTGTTTTAGCAACAGTTTTACTTCTTGTTTAAAGTAAGGTTGGGCGATAAAAATTAATCACGATTAATTGTCATATTTAGCCGATAACGATTAATCTGATAATTAATCCCCTGTGGTCTCTGAATGCCCTGATATCCTAGTCACATGACCAACTTAAATCACTCTTGTGGGAAAGAAATGTTCTTTGGATAAATCTGTTCCAAATTGTGTCAAAAGGACAGAATTCAGGCTATAAATCAATGTTTCAATTGTGTTGATRAACCAAGTAAAACCGGAGTTATGATAAATAAAGTACAGAACTTTGTTTTTAAATGTTCGTCATATTTGAAGAGGAGAGGAGCACCAAGCAGACTGACGGCATTAATCGTAATAATCAGAAAGTGCCAAAATATAATCAATTAAAGTTTTTCTGATGATTAATTGCACGCGATACGATTTTGCTCAACCCTAGTTTATAGGTATTTCTGATTCAAAGGAACAGGAAGTGTTTTATCATTTCAGGAGCTCATATTTGATATCAGGACACACCACAATAAATCATTGTGTCTGAAGCAGATTTTAGTCTGATTTGGTGGAATCATTTATCAAACTTGTGTCATCTGCTTGTCAACATATGTTTTTTTAATTATTGAATTCTTGTAAAGATCCTGTCACACTATAATATTTAGACAACTTATGTCTACTTGTGAAAATATCGTCCCACATTTAAGATGTCTACGTTGAAGACAGAATTTRAAAAATCTACTGGAAGCATCTTTTGGACTTATTCATACGGTAATGCATGTTAAACATATTTATAAGTAATTTATTTGTAACATTTTCACAAGTCTAAGTTGTCTAAAACATTATAGTGTGAGAGAGTCTCAAAGCTGCTATAAATCAGTGACAATTATTTAAACACCAAAATATAATCCTAGCCAAATTCCCTAAAGGGATCTACTTTTTCAACATGGTTCTAAATAATCTTTAGATTGAAAAACGACACCTTTATTTGATGCCTGTTGACAATTTCACACCATTATTTGCTCTGTAAACTGAATGCACTTAAACCTTTAATGTGAGCATAGATAATGACCAAACGTCAAATTGTTTTAAATTCCAGCTTGTGGGGCAACAAAACAMCAAGGGAGTTATTCAACCAACTGTAGGTGCATGTGTGTGAGCTGAACTTTGTGTGTTTTCATCTCTGTGTGACACACCTCTGTGCATGATATCCTCTACCTCTTTCAGGTGTTTTCTCAGTCCTTCACAGCCTCCTATGCCATCTACACTGTGGCTAATGGGTAGGTGGAACTGTAARTGCTTCTGCATGAGATGCACTAGGCATGAGCCGTGACCAATGCAAGCAGAACTGCAGACTGAAAACAAAAGTCCCCCCCAAAKTGCGTCTCATTGCGTCCAATCGTGGTGTTTCTATCCGACATGCATTTGTTCATCAGTGTTCTCTCCAGGTTCCATAAACAGCATACTGTGAGGTTTGTGCAGTACCGCACTTTCAGTGTCACTGCCTGAGATTCATTTTGAGCATTTTCAGTGGGGAAAAAAACAAATAAATGTTTCTGTGATGGCTTTGAATGATCAGGGGAGCATCCAGGAAATAATTTGGGAAAGGACGTCTAGATGACCTGCAGCATCGATCGATGTCTGAGTATGACTTGGAAGAGTTGTGTCTGCCTGACAGAGGATGCAAAAAAAAAACAATTGTTGCACTCCTGCATGAGCCAGCCCGTTCTCCGTCTTCCCTCTCTGCATCTTGCTCTTTTGTCCTGTCTCTACAGCTGCTTTTCCAACATGGACCAACTAAAGAGGGCTTCAGGCAGGACAGTGGTCTCTGATGGGGGAGGTTGTGTCTGAGGGTCTGTGTGTGTGTGTTCCAGGGATCTGCTGGAGCTTCACCCTCCTGAAGGGGAAAAGACAGAACTGCAGTATGCTTCCTGGGGTCCTCAGGGGAACCAGCTGGTAAGCAAGGCTTTCACTTACTTACCAGAAAAAAACATGCCATCATCAGCAAACATGATTAGGAACTTTATTTACCTACTTACRAAAGCTTTTTCTATTTGGCACAAATTTCAATTATGAAAACACAATCACTACAATGTCATAGCTATAAACCTCATTTGCAGGGGCTGTGTCGCTAACACGATTGTTTTATACCAATATTATTATTTATCTACCGCTGCTGTAATGTAATTGGCTTTTGCTGCCATATCAGTGCTCATCTGCACCATATTAACTGGCAAGTAGAGATGTATTGGCTCTCAGCGGTGTGTGTGTCGGCCAATGATTCATTCATACTTGGATGGTTTTTGCTGCTTAAATTGGGCAACCAGCTGTGCAGTCTGCAACCTTCCTGTCTTTGACAGTGGATTGGTCTAACGTCTGTTTCATTGTGCCAGGCGTACGTGTTTGATGGAGATATCTACTACAAGCCCAGTGTGACGAACAAAGCCCTGCGCCTCACCTCCACCAACCAGGAACAGAACGTGGTGAACGGACTGTCCGACTGGATTTATGAAGGTAGGATCTAGTCCAGCTCCACTCGCAGGCAGTCGGCAACGATGAAAGCAGGTTCACCATTAATAAAACAATCTCCTGTATTCAAAACCAGAGGAGGTGCTTTTGACATACGCTGCTCACTGGTGGTCTCTGGACGGTGCCAGGCTTGCATACCTCCGCATTAACAACTCTGCWACACCTGTGATGGAGTTACCTCACTTCCTAGGTGGCATCTATCCCTCCAATGTGGTCTTCCCCTACCCGAAGGTAAATAGATTTTGTTAGGAGCCACATCTTTTATGCTTTTAGGTTGGTGCTGCTGTCAGCACGTAGACAGCGCCGCCGTTTACTGCTCGTAAAAACTGGTTCAGCGCAAAGCTCACGGTTTAGGCTTGAAACACAGCTCTGAATGCTGAGAATATGAATCATTTCTCTGCACAATTTAAAGTGTTGCTGTAAATTCCAATCAACAGAAGCTGATTAGAACAGCTGCAGAGAGACTTCGCAAAAACATTCTCATCTGTCAGTTAGAGGYGAATACAAGCACCTATACTTTTCACACAGTTTTCATTCATTTTTACCAATAGAGCAGGAATGCACCATATATCACAGGGCTATTCAACTAAACTGCTCCGGCAGCCACAGTTACTGCAGGTCACCAGCACAGGGGCCAAACATCCAGCAATTAAAGTCATTAYGTAAATAAAACCAACATTACAAAGATCTTTTATTTGACATAGTTTATTTTGCTCTATTTAATAATGAATACAACATACAGAACCCTAATGATAATTAAACAATATCAAAAACAAAAATAACACATCATGTCTCCTATTTAACACACATCTTATTTTGACATCTCTGACTGACCAATTTTATTTTCACTTTCATAGTTTTATCTTCAACTACTTGTAGTTTTAACTGTCTTGTGTGTTCAGAAATGGTTTTTACCAGCTGATGTTTCTGTAGACACCAAACATGTCTATGTCTAATAAAAGAACTTACAGTAATTTAAGTAAAATAACCGGGGGTTTGGCTAAAGAGATGAATGAACCAAGTGGCGGGCCGAACTTTGGTCACTCATGACCTGGATGTGGCCCATGGGCCACCAGTTGAATAGCCCTGATATATCAGTATTAACATCGGTATGGCAGATATTGGTCAATTTTAATATTTAATCCCTGATATTGATTTCCCACTTTTTTACATTGGGTTGAGGGACATCCATGGGGTTAGGGGGTTATCATGCTTTTTGTCAGCAGTATTTTACTTCCTAAAAAGAAACGGTCAGAAGAAACGATTCTTTTAAAAACAATGGATACTCTCAGGATTGGACTTCATATTTTCTTACACCAGACTCTTCCAGTTTTTCAKAAATAAGGTGCCTTTTTTATAGGATGAAGTTGTTGATTTCATAGAGACCTTCAGCAAGGTCATTTAGTGCTAATCAGATGAATGTTGACCGCCTAAAGGAAAAGTGTAGCTACTCTTTGAGTGGCAGCAGCTCTGTATGTGTGGAACAGACAGCCTTACAGCTCTGACTGAGCAGTGAAGAGAAATGCTGAGTTTTTTTTTTATTTCAGTGAACTAATTCTCCAATTATTCACAAGACTCAAGACCTCAGTGGAAATTGAGTAAAGGAACTTTTTGTGTTTTTTTAAAGATTCATGTTAAAGAAAATAATAGGTATATTTAGGTAAAGTATATTCTAGTATTGTAAAATTACGTTTAAATTGACATAATGACATTTTTCAGTCAATGTCTAATCACTCATGATAAAAAATTATTTCAAAACGATAAATCAGATGAGTCCTCTCATCATTTATTGATGATGGTGACAGAAAACCCTGCTAAGTAGTAGCATAGTCGACCTACCATAAAAACTTTATTTCTTTATATTCCTGGATATACACTATAGGTCTGTGCAAATTAACCAGATGGAGTGTGTGAATTTTTAAACGTGGTGGGTTGATCAGGACTGGTGACTAAAACCCTGCAGCATAGAAATAAGGGCATCAAATAAAAAAAAACTAATAAAAAACCACTGGCCCTTGATGTGCTACCTCAGCACTTTTTAAAAAAATTAAAATAAAACATCTGCTAAACATATCAGAATAAGTACCTTGTTGTCTGAAATGTTCAAATGACACTGCCTGGCCAAAACCAAGTGTCCAYCTGGATGTAACTAAGGTCTATGATGTGGGGTTGCTGCAGTTGGTCAGGTTCAGGTTCAGCAACAGTTTGTGCTCAAAGAATGAGGTCAGCTGACCTGAATATACTGAATGACCAGGTTATTATTCCATCAATGGATTGTTTCTTCACTGATGCCACGGCCATATTCCAAGATGAYAATRYCAGGATTCATGGGGCTGGAACTGTGWRAGAGTGGTYCAGGGAGCATGAGACATCATTTTCACACAGGGACTGGTTYCACAGAGTCCAGAGTGAGAACCTTTGGTTTAACTAATTTTAATGCACAAATGGGATTAAGTCATAACTCAAGAGAAAGTGGTAAATACAGTACATGTCTCTTCATATTAAAATGTTTTCTTCCTTAGGGATGAGGAATTGCTGTCAGAGCAATAAACAGGACATCTAAATTAAATTTAGAGGACAAAAGGAAATAATGGTTTGATGAATAGTTTTCTGAACTAAACAGACTAAATAAATAAACAGCAGATGTCAAACATGAGGAAACAACAGTCCTGAAACGTTATTCATAGTTAAGTTTGAATTGTGCCATTTGTTTATTTATGTTTGTCAATTTTATTGTAAGTAAATCTTTTTATAAGCGGTGGCAGCGTGCGTCTCATTGCTGTAGATGTAAAAGGCACATGAATCTCTGGTAATCCTGGGTACATGGACTCCTTATATCCATCAGAGGACATCACATGGAAACACCACGGCTCCTGTGAGAAAAGCACGTGGATTTGCTTCAGACACTGAAAAAAAAAAATAACTTGATCTATCACACCGGCTGCTTGTGTCTTACCACTGTTRTACTGAAAACATCCTGACGCGTGGCGTGCTGGTGTGGTTTGTTAGCTGCTGACAAGAAGGCCCCGCAGAGAGTAATCACAGCAGCACAGAGAACTGTTGGCTTCCAGCTACACATCACAGCTACACAACATGTTGCCTTCACCATCGTGCAGCATCACTAAAACTGCATCACACCCTGGTCATCTCTTCGTGCTGCTGCCCTCTGAGAGCTCTTTAAAGTTGCCGCCTCCAGACTTAACAGTTCTTAGCCAAGTGCCTGTAGAGATCTCAACCCTGCTAACTGACTGTATTATGTTCAATACGCTCAGCCACGTGTGCAATAATGTATGAGGTGCAGTTTTTATGGAACGAGCGCGATTTGTGCTGAATCAGCATTCACACTTGTTTTCCTCTTTAGTTTTATCTGTATGATTTTTTCAATCTAACTGCATCTGCATATTTCTAATAACCAGCCATATATACTGTATTTAAATATTCAGCTCTATCAGAAATAATGTGCGAGGACTTTTAATATTTGTATCTTTCATACTATTAGAGTTATTATCACCATTGCAAAGAATATTCCCTATGGGTTCACATTAAAATCTCTTCAATTCATTCAAAACATTGATCTCTGAAATCTACTCAGCATACTTGCCTTATTATGCTCTTTTTAGCTTTTAGCTGTGGCTTTGCTCATTTTAGTTGTTGGCTACATCTACAGTTTAGCTTTTAGCTACATCCATCATTTTCTGTACACGCTTCTTCCTTTTCAGGGTTGCGTGGGTCACTGGTGCCCATATCCAGCAGTCAC